ATATGAGCCGTTTATTTTGAAAGTGGGGCAAGTCCATTTTTGAAAAAAATGGAGATAATGGTAGTTATAGATAAAACTTGTTATGATCTTTTTATGCATAAACAATTTATACTAAAAAAAAATTCAGATTCTAGTATTTGGGAGATGGAAGTTTTAGCTCTTAACAGTATTGAAAATATGTTTATTTTGAAAGTGGTGCAAGTCCATCTTAGATTGAAATTATTTTTGACCGAATATATTACGGCAAAATTTAGCTCCGGTTGCTGTATGGTAAAGCAATGTGGTCATTTGACGTCATGTCTGAAATCTATCTAATCTATCTTTGATATTGAAAGTCAGTGGTTGTACAATATTTCATAAATAACAAAAAGTATATCTTAATTTTGTGTTTCGATAATAATATGTTTACTTCCAACACCAAGAAATTTTAGTAATATTGGCAGCACTCTGAAAAACTGTAAACGGTATAACATTCATCTTATTTTATCAGCTTGCAAGTAAGTTCCAATTCAGTTTCTAATAAAATACTCGACAAGTCGACATTGTGTTTCTTTGTGCTCGGCGTACAAAAACCATTAACAGTTTCATTCTTATTTGGAAAATAAATAATGGATTGCGGTTTATTTTATAAAAAGAAAAAAAATGGCTCAAAACGATTACAATGGAAATTATAACTCTGATGCGTCTGAAAGTGAATTTGGTAGGTAACAAAAGAAAATAAAAATAATTTTCTGTGTAATAATGCCACTTCAATAAAATCATCATTCGCAAGTAATTTTATTATTTTTATTTTGTCTGTAGAAATAAGACCCATGGCAATCAGTACTAAAAGAAGACTCTTGGAATCAGGATCTAAATGCGAAGGCAATTCAGACCAAAATTATTCAAAAAAATTCAAAAAAAGAAGAATAGTTGAACCATTGACTTCGTCATCAGCTGAGGATGATGCTACAGAGGAACGTTACAAAGAAAAAAAGGTTACTTATGTCCAAAAAATAAGAAAAGTCAATCGAAATAGTGGAAAAAAATATTGCACACAAGAAGGCAAAATTATTCCCGAGAAAAAATTCATGAATAAAGACTGCCAATGCTCAAGGGCATGTGAAAAACTAATTAGTGAGGAAGAACGGAAACTAAATTTTAATAAATTTCGGAACCTTGCAGATTTCAATAAGCAAAATTTATTTCTATATGCATATTTACTCGCAAACTGGGTACAAAAAGAAAACACCAAAGGAATTTCAAAGGAGCAGCAAAGAATTTTAGTTTTAAATATTATTTGAATACAAATCATGGAAATATTTTATTATTTAAAACATATTTTCTACACACTTTTAATATCTCTAAAGGACAATTAGACCGTGTTCTGAAAGCAGAAGTTGTAGGAAAAGATTTACGTGGCCAGAGAGAAGGATCTTCCTGGAAAACCAGTGAAAATTTGGTAAATGATATAAAGCAACACATTCAAAGTATTCCTCAGTATGAAAGCCATTATACAAGGAATCACAATCCAGGGAGAAAATATTTAAACCCAGAACTAAATATAAGAAAAATGTATAATTTATATGTGGATCATTGTACACTGAACCAGATACCCTACGTAAACGAGTGGATTTACAGGAATATTTTTAAAACACAATTCAATTTGTATTTCCACCATCCATGCAAAGACACCTGCCAAAAATGCAATATGTTTAATATGAAAATCAAAACTTCTTGCAATATTCAAGAGCAACAGAACCTGAGAGAACAACATGAAATGCACTTGATAAATGCTGAAATGGCAAGGAAATCTTTGCAGGAAGACAGAGATATGGCTGTAAATAATCCGGAAGAATATTTTGCATTCTCCTTTGATTTACAAAAGGCACTACCTTATCCTAAGCTAACAGTATCAATTGCATATTATAAGTGGAATATGTATGTATTGAATCAAGGCTTCCACAATTTTCATAATGATGGAGTTAGTATGTATGTTTGGGATGAAACTATAGCATCCCAAAGAGCACAAGAAGTAGCATCTTGCTGTTTGAAGCACTTACAGACTGTGACAACCCAAAAACACATTATAGCTTATGGTGACATGTGCACTGGCCAAAATAGAAACATAAAGTTGGCCTTAATGTGGATGAAATTGTTCAGTCCAGTGACAATGAAATAAATAAAATTTGTGATCAATGAAATAAATATCATTGATCACAAATTTTTATTTTCAGGACATTCATTTTTACCGAACGATTGTGATTTTGGAGTTGTAGAAATGGCAATCCAGAAAACCAGTTCCTTGTATATTCCCCAGGATTACTATAAACTAATACGAAATTGTCAAAAACATAATAAATTTTTAGTACATGAAATGAAATGCAAAATTTTTTTTTCAACCCAATCTCTGGGGAAAGCAGTTTTAACAAGAAACAAAAATACCGATAGAGAAATCATGAATTGGTTAAATATATGCTGGATCAGATTTACAAGGGATGCACCATACAAAATGTTCTACAAAACTTCGATAGAATGAGATGCTGAATTTAAAATTATCGATTTGTCACCACAACGAGGAAGACCAATTAATTTCAGAAATATAAAGTTATCTTTTCTGTATGAAAAAAGGAGATCTATTACATCTGAAAAATACAAGGACATGATGAATTTATTACCATATATACCTCCCGTTCATCATGAATATTTTAAAATGTTAAATCCTGAATAAAATTCATTTAATTATACCTACATATAAACTGAAAATGTATAATTTCATTGAAATTCTTAATAAAACTGAATTTTTTTTGTTATGTTATATTTTCTACTAGAATATTCTTTGTTTTGTTTCACTTTTTATCAAATGAATAAATATTTATAAAAATTTGAATAGTATTTTGTTTTTATTATTAAAAAAAGGCTGATGCAGATGAAAAAATTCCCAATTAAATGAACAATTACAATAATTCATTAATTTTCAAAGTGAGGCAAATCCATTTAGTTATAATGAAACTCTTACTTTTTTTAGTCGGCACTGTAAACACTTTTGGATTATAAACTGACATTATCTGGTACCACAAAATATTAAAAATATATCTATTAATACTTACNCAAAAACAATAATGGTGTACTACCACAGTTCACTCTTGTGTTACAATGGAACAGAGACAACTGAATACACTAAAAAGCGACAACTAGTTCACACTACAATCAGTGTTGCTGAATCATTCTCTCACTGCACCAGAAGTGACACAAAGCGCAACTCACGAAACCTAAGACACAAAGCATGCCATTTTCAAACTCTCACAAATTATTTTCAATATTTTGCATTAAAATCTCGCAACCCCAAGATTTTGCTAAGCGACCCCAAACGGGGTCGCGACCCATAGTTTAAGAAGCCCTGATCTATACTATAATAAAAACAGTTATATATACCTTTCTTCATCCATTTCAAGACTAGATTCACTTTCAGAGAGATGGCGACATAATGCTTCACGCCTTTCAGTCTCCATCTGAAGTCTGCGTTGTAGCCTAACATTTTCTTCACGTATATTTTTTTCTTCAATAGCATAACGAGCCATCTTTTCAGAATCTAGATTAAGACAAATTTACAGTATCTACTGTTTATAAAGACATACACAACTAAAATACAACATTAGAAATCTATAATTCTCAAAACTAGGAATAGCAAAATGGTTAAGTAATATTGGGAAACTATTGATCACATTTAATTAAATAATCAGAAATAAATCGTGTAATTAAGAAAAAATGTACAAATTATTATAAAAACTGATAAGAAGCACATTATATCTTATAATTATTGATATATTGAAAACCTTAATTTATTTTGAAATAATTTATTACTTAAATTCATTACTTACGTTCTTGATGAGTATTAATTAACTGCATCTTTAATTTAGAAACCTCATTACGAAGATGCTTAATATGCAAAGCAAGATTGGCAGCTGTATCTCCATTGTTCACATTGCTTGGGGAGGGAGGTGTAGAAGGAGGTTGATCTAATTTCTCTTGAAGCATTCTAAAATAAGTAATTTTTAAGAAAGCTATAATTTTAAATTTTCAGTAGGAAAAAAAATTAAAATTTTCTCAAGTATTAATATAAAATAACAGAATAGATGTAATTGATTTGTATTAATAACAGTTTTAGAATTCCATACTTTATACCAAAAATTTTGCAAATACAGGAATAAATTTACAAAAAAATTATAAGAATTTAGCAGATAAATATAGGAAATTTTAAAAAGAATTCTAGACAAAATGTAATCTTGTAATGTAGTAAAGAAACAAAACTGCTTTAGGAAAACAAAAGATTTTTGATTTCCTAAAGCAGTTTTGTTTCTTGATTTATTACTACTATGGGTTTGTGTATTTTCATGACATTTTTTGTAGTAATTAGTAACAAATTTCAATTTATTCACTACTTCCTAATACTTTACTAATATACAGATTGTTTCTAAAATAATCATCTATTTTATTGAAATAGAGATTAAATTTGACAGAGATACCTTGATGACACAATTATCTACATATTTCACTAAAAAATACAATACAAAGGACTTAATTTCTGTTAAAAAGTTTTTAACTTTTTAATTTTCTTTTCAGACCCATATTATTCATTATGACAGTTCAGTAATGTGTTATAGTCACAAAATAATGAAATGTAATGACCTTAGTAAAGCCTGTAAGATATATAAAATCAGAAGGGAGCAATTCAGAAAATAGCCTCTGAAATACTTGTTCCAAATGCAACTGAGATTTGTAGAGATGGAGTATACATAGAAACTGTTAATGATAAAATGGTATGATACATGTATTTTGTAAAGACATATACAAAGGATGTTTCTTTTTCAACCTCTAATGGTCCATAAAATAAAGACAAATGTGAATAACAAAATGAATTTATTACCAAAAGTTAGGTACAAACATCGTTACTTTTTGGCATAATCACTGTGAAGATTGAGGCCTTTGTCTATCTGCGGACAAGCTTTGAAATCTTCTCTTCATAGAATGTTGCCGCCAATGACTTGAGATGGGCCCTAATGTTGTTTTGAACATCGTCATTAGTCTCAAACCTCTGCCCACCTAGCCATGTTTTCAGTTCAGGAAAGAGGGGGAAGTCTTCACCACCTTTAAACACCCAGCGTGTAGCCCGATTTAGCGCCAAGCAATTTCTACCTCTTTCCTGAACTGAAAACAGCAGAGGTTTGAGACTGATGACAATCTTCAAACAATGTTAGGGCCCATCTCAAGTCATTGGCACCAATATTCTATGAAGAGGAGATTTCAAAGCTCGTCCACAGATAGACAAAGGTCTGAATCTTCACAGTGATTATGCCAAAAATTAACCATGTTTGTACCTAACTTTTCATAATAAATTCATTTTGTTATTTACATTTGTCTTTGTTTTATGGACCATTAGAGGTTGAAAAAGAAACAGCCCTCATATACCATAACATTATACTCCTCCCTACAAAATGCTCCAAAGTCCATTTGAAGAAATCAAGAAAACCTTTTTGAACTGGTCATATTTTACCTCATTATGGCTAATTCTTGGGGATTTCAATGCTAGAATTGGAAACAAATGTGATTCAATCTATAACAGAAAGAATCTGGTGGTTTATATGACCACAGTACTGAACCAGGTGCCAAAAACAGGAGCTGATAAAGTCCTTTAAAATGCTCATTACTTATTCTGTACATTATATTGCTGTAGAGGAATCCTATTTCAAATAAATAAATATATTTAACCCTTTGGCACGCACCTAGTGCCGTTTAGGCAGTAATCAATTTTTAATTAGTTAGTGTAAAAATTCTAATTGTTTGAAAAATCTGAAAAAAATTATTACCTGTCTAATTTTTCTTCAATTTTATGATGCACAATTCAATTTTTGCTTCAAGCATTTCATTTTTTTTATTTAATTATTGGTGTCAAATCGACACTATAGTGTGCATGATCTTGGATTTCAATTTTCAAACATCCCACCAGTTGATGATACTAAAAATAGCTGCAGCAGCAGCACACACGTGCTTCTGCGCTTATAATCATATTATTTTTATGCGAACAACTTCTAAAAAACTCAAATTTGATCTGGAAATAATTTAATTTTTCCAATGGTATTTTTAAATCATTTTATAAAATTATATAACACCATGATCCATATAATTTTTGTATTTTTTAATTTTATGAATATAAAAATGTGAGCGACTGTAATATGTAAATTAAAGAATTTTCGTTTATTAACTGCGTCTAGGCATGTATGTATCCAGCAGATACATAGCGGTTTTTTTTGTTGAATTTCTTAAAAATAAAACAGTTGAAGTGTGGGCTTTTTAGTATTTCTCATCTGATATATTCTGAAGCAATTCCCTTAGTAGTTTTAAAATTTATGATTTTTTTTCAGAGAAATTTTACAAAAACCAATACCTTTTCATTACATGCAGTAAATTCTCTCACAGTGTGGGAGCGCTGTACTTATGCCATTGTTATGCACAACAATAGCAATTTAATAAAATAACTATGTAGAATATTTAACCTTTACCACAATGCTATACATTATATCTTTTTCTCTTGGTTTCAATGACAGGATCAATCCCAAAACATTTCAAATACGTCATTGCAGCTTTTTTTGATAACGTGATTTTCTCACTTCGGTGTTATTGTTCTGCTGTCTCGCGATTAGTTTTATGATAAGAAATCTAATACTTTCTATTTTGCAGAAGTTAAAATTTATGTTCATAACATAGCAATACCATTTAGGAATTGTAAACAAACATTTATTTGGTAATTTTATAAATATTTCTTAAAGTATTAAATATACAAATTATAGAATTCATTACTGGCAATACTAGTTGTCAAATCTGAAACAAAACATTCCCCTGAGTGCAAGAAAATTTGTTAGTTGTTCAACCCATTACTGACAGAGAGAGAGTTTTTGAAAACAAAGTATTATAAAAAATTAGTAGTTTATTTATAGTACTTCACAGTGGGGAACCTGCAAAGACTATTACTTTCACGGGAGAAAATAAACAAACCTTTACTATCCTGAATTTGAAAAATAATATGATCCTGTGAAATTTAAGAAATCTGATGTCAATAAGACAAAGTTGAAATTATTTATATCTAGTTGATATAAGTTTAGTTTTTGAATTTACAGATCAAATTTCAGAAAATATAAATAAAAATCTCAGTTTTTACCTATAAGTATTTTATACCTTTAGATAGTAGAGAAAATGTAGAAATTGATAACATAATCATAATCAAGCATATATATCAGTAAAAATATGAAAACTGCATTAAAATAACACACTTTGTTGAATGTCTCAGATGAAAAAGTAATTGAATTGAGTCTCGCCACCATATTGATTAACACACGATTGATTCTGAGCATGTTGCATTGCATCAAATTAAATAATTTTTATAAATTAAAATAATAAACATGTATATAAAATAATTGACTATATCTGTTCACAATAATATCGTAAAACACACTGCACTTATAGTTTAGCATTTCCGATAACATTTAATTAATTTTTTAATTTTATTATATTTTATATATAAAAATCAAAGAAAAAAACATAAATGTGTAAAACTTAATAAAATAAAATACATCTGAAACGTCAGATAACACATAAATATGAGAATCCATAAAAAGAAATAGTTAACAATAATTAAAATTAAACAGTGTGATATATCTGAATTTACAATATTATAAGGGGCTACTATATTAAAATTAATAATTATACATTAACTGCTTACATATGAGAATGTGAATGCATGCCTACACATATGAAAAATGTGTAGGCATGCATAAAATAAATACAAAAATTTATCCATTTACCTTTTTTCAGCTTCTAATTTATCCATACGTTTCCACAACCTATTAACCAATGCTTCCTGTTCTTGTTCCAATGTATTCTCCAATTCTATTTTTTCTCTTCTTAACTGTTCCAAAGTATCCTGTTTAGTCAAAGTTTCTGCTTCAAGTCTTTCAATTTTCCTCATTAGTTTATTAACAAGTGCTTCTTGTTCCTTTTCTAGTGTCTCCTCAAGTTGAACTTTCTCTTGACGTAACTACAAATACAATTGCAGAATATTTTTTAAATAAACATAAAAACCATTACTGATTTAATAATAAAATTTAACAACAAATTTCATATTTTATTAATACTTTTAAGATACCATAAAACAAATTTGGTTTAAATAGATTAATTTTTATTTATAGGAATATATCAGATTTTGTTCATTAATTGAGCCATTTATTTTGAAAGTGGGGCAAGTCCATTTTTAAAAAAAATGGAGATAATGGTAGTTATAGATAAAACTTGTTATGATCTTTTTATGCATAAACAATTTATACTAAAAAAAAATTCAGATTCTAGTATTTGGGAGATGGAAGTTTTAGCTCTTAACAGTATTGAAAATATGTTTATTTTGAAAGTGGTGCAAGTCCATCTTAGATTGAAATTATTTTTGACCGCATATATTACGGCAAAATTTAGCTCCGGTTGCTGTATGGTGNAAAGCTGATCAGCTGGCCAAACAGGCTGCTGCTTCCAGCCTTACTCCTTGCTACAACAAAATTCCTGCTTTGCAAATCAAGCAATGGACTTGGAAATTCGCTCTTGGTCAATGGCAAGAAGAATGGGATAATGGATCTACAGGCAGATTAACGCACACCTTTATCCCAAACGTTAACAAAAGACTTAAATGGTAACACTTAGAACCAACCTCCATGACCCAGTTAATTACTGGACATGGTAATTTCAATAGCTATTTAAAAATGTTTCATCTTAAAAACATGGACATCTGCCCCTGCAACAGTACTTCAACCCAAGACAGCCAGCATTATCTATGGGACTGTGAACTTTTTAACAGAAAAGAGACAGTCTCATGGGGCATGTGCTCCATGCTGGAAACAATTGGCCATGCCCTAACAGCAGACTCATGAAAGACTTGAATGTTTATCAACATCTCAAGTTTCTGGAAACAGCAGCAGCACTCAACCCACCATGCGATCAACAGTCTGCTAGAAATGATTGATCAACTGGCTAACTTTTTCTCTGACAATTGTTCCAGGCTTCCACCCAGTTTTGCTGCTCCATTATGTAACACAGATTGTTCTTCCATTGTGTAACAGGGTAAGTAGCACCGTTTTCTCTTGTGCAATCGTGTTCATGCACTCTTGGTACCAATGTTCCCTCTAATTTTTTTTGTAGATGAGCGGAACATATACTTCTCTGAGCAAAAAAAAATTTTGCTGAGCAGATTCTGAGCAAAAAATTTTTCTGGGCATATATATATACAGTATAATCTTATTTTTTCCTGTAAAAATTAAAATAATTAATTATAAAGTAGAGATTAAAATTCATTTTAAAACATACTGTATTTTGACGAGTATAAGTCGCACTTTTTTTACTACTTTTTGGGGCTCAAAATCATGGTGCGTCTTATACTCGACAGGTAACCATTTTTACAGTGAAATTATTTACAGTAGTGGTCCACTCTAGGGACCAACCTGTGCAGTGATCCGTTAAGCACATGGTCCCTCAACCGAATGGCTAGAGTACCTAGATTATCAGAATAGCGACACACGAGTCATCGTCGCCATGTTCTGTCAACTGTCATTGCGTGACTTCTGAGTTTACATTAAGAAATGACAATTATTTCAGTTTAATAAAGGTGTCAATTCACCCATCCATCATCATATTCTTGAATAAAAACAAATAAAATGCATCTTTTTAATAAAAAAAATGAATAAAATGCATCCGTCACATTCTTGAATAAAAAAATGAATAGAATGCAATCTCCCATTAAAAAAGTTTTTCTAAATTTTCTGTCTCAAAATAGGGGCGTGTCTTATACTCGACAGCGACTTATACTTGTCAAAATATGGTACTTTTATACGAAATATTATCTTTTGTCAATGATTTAATGTATTTAATCAAAATATACGCAGCAATAATCATGTTGCAGACAGAGTGAGAAATAAGTAAACAACAATTCAAATGGGTGTGCATGCTCGCCTGCACGGCACATAAATTCTCGTGTGCGGCAACAATTTGAGCAGTGCGCAGCTTAGAGGGAACATTGCTTGGTACCTGTGTGTCCTGTATGTGCACTCCAAGCTCGTGTACTGCAGTGCAGTATCATCTATATTTGTTTGTAATGTTTTCTGTAATCCATTGTAAATCTCGGGCTTTACCATTCTGTATGCATCACTAATCTTATGTTTGTGTAACTTTTCTATACTCGTGTATTATTAACCTACTTATCTCTGCAACTGTATTTTGTACAATGTCTAACACCAATTATAAACCTCTTATGCATTCAAGAGGTATATTATTGTTGCTTTTGTTGCAATGTACTACCATCTGTAAACTGTTACTCAGTGTACATTACTCTTGTCCTCTTGTTCTGCATACTTCTTGTAAGCAAAATCGCACTGTACATATCACGTTAATTATTATGTATATTTATGTTGTAGCTCTATACATATACATTTTTATGTACTCGCAGCTTTTTGGGGCACATCAAAGTATTTCGGTCAATTCTTTATCTGTAATATGTATTGTTATGCTTTCAATATTTGTGATGCAGGTACCATGTACACTCATCTATCTTCTCCACTTTGCCCCCTTTTCATCCCCTATCCTTCATCTCCTTTACTCCCATTTCACCAACTTTTTTCCTCCAACCTCCAGGTCATACCTATGAGTGGAACCTGGAGACCCCCTCTTTCAATTAAAATGTAAAAATAAAAAAAAACCATTTATCCTGTATTATATGCATTTTGCTTAATCATTTACTACTTAAAGAATTTACAGCTATAAAACTTCTTATCCTTTATCGATAAACATCAATAAAGCATTAGAATGGCTATATCTTAAAACAGGAGTTATTAAGCTTTTTTGTTTCATGGACCCCTTTTCCAGTCAGGTGGAAGGTTACGAATTCCTTTCTCAGAATATTTTTAAGTGCATAAAATAAAATTACATAAGAAACAGTTATTAAAACATTTATTAAAATAAAAAAACATATATAGTAATAGACGTTGTATGTGATTTTTTCTTAACACAACAATTAACGATACATTTAAAATATAGGAAAGTTAAAACTGATTTATACCCTTCCAAGCCACAGACCCTGGCTAAGAACACTTGTCTTAAAAAGACTTACCACACCAGTCTGCTTGTTTATAATTTTAGTGACATTAGTAGTGGACTGATTTTATGTTTGCAATAATAATGTAAAACACACTGTACTTATAGTTTAGCATTTCCGATAATATTTAATTTATTTTTGAATTTTTGAATCTAAGTAAAACATATTTTTTAAATTAAGTTTTACACATTTCTATCTGCAACTTCAGGTAATACAAACATATAAAAATTCATCAAAAAAGTTAATTAATAATAATTAAAATCGAAAAAATAAATAAATAAAACTTTCAAGGCAAGGAAACTTGTAAAAAGTAAGGTATGTGATCATCTTAGACTTAATGTTATCGGGTTAGTGTTGTTTGTTTATGTTTGTTTATAACATAACACGCACAAAATAAAAAAGAAAATAATATTAGTTAAATATATAAGAAATATATTTTAATTCCTAGGACACACAAACTAAGCCCCCAGTATAATCTAGCCCTGCTCCCAGTGCTTATATACCTACACATCTGAACTTATTTGGGACTGTTCCAGGGATATATCTCCCTAAACATAAAAAAGTATCAAAGTAGAAGAGAACTCTCCCTGTAGTCTTAATAGAAATTATGGCTTTACAATTACTGTTCTGACTACACGTTTGTGTTATGGTCACACAATAATTAAACAGAACAAATTTGTTCTTTTAATATGATTTTTCTTATATCGCAAATACTTTCGATGAGTATTATATCGTCGTCCTCAGACGAAAAGGAACAAATTTGTTCTTTTTCACCTGAGGACGACGATATAATACTCATCGAAAGTACTTGTGATATAAGAAAAATCATATTAACACTGAACTCAGTGCTTGTTATCAAGAAGTTATGTATACAAAGGATTGACCACTGCACATATCATTTTGAGCATCTAGGAGCAAAACCGCTTCTGGCTTCTCTCTCTTCCACAAGTTTACTGACTACAGTTATTTTTGCTTTTATTCTATTTATTTCTTCATTACTTCAAAAATTGACTTCTGCATTTATTAATTTATCATTTGAATTTCTAGTTCTTAAAAAGAAATGTTTAAATAGAATATAAGAAGTGTTTAAAACTTTTAATATGTTTTGTTCTCCCTGCCTACCAGGATTACTTTATACTGCATCTAAGTTGTCATTTCTATTTAATACTTAATTATTATTGTTATAAATATTCTGATGATTATTTCTTGCATTTATCCTGTCGAGTTTGGACAGGGTCATTGGACAGTTAGAACATGATAAACCCCAGCTCTGTTTTCGATCACCATATCAGCATTCTACCTGCTTAATTGTGAGTTTTGTGTATATATTTTTATTGATGGTGTCAAATGGTTTATTTTAATATCTCATTTCTCAAAATCAGTGCGCAATTAACAAAGTTATGGCTATTTCTCTACGGTGTCCACGCGGTCCACTTTGTGGTCCATTTCCAGCACCTACCTTACATTTCATTCATGATAGCAATCTCTTGTTTACACTGTTGTGTACGGCTTATTTTCCTCAGTTAGACAATATATTACTTTAATATTTCTGCTTTTATAAGGGGTTTTTTTTTTTGTCACTTCTGGTCCAATTTTAGGACATTCTTCCAGCTTCATTTCTGGCCATCATTTTCGGGTGATTGTGAGATGGGCATTTTTGTTGTGTAAATTTCATTCTTCTACATCTATTTGCACACTAGAAAAAAGGGCTGGTACTTGAGGGCTAAACAAGGGTCATTGTTTGTTCCTCATCTTGGACCATAACCTGATCATACACATTAATACTCTACTCAACCCTAACTTACGCTACTTTTACTTCACTTTTGCTTTGGGTGCATCATTTGCACTATTCCCTTGGTTTTTCGGTCTGATTATTAATTCTTATGGTCTTTTGCTTCACTCCCCCCCTC